GGTGAAAGGTGGATAGCAAAGAAGCTTGAGAAAAAGAGAATAGACTCATCTGGAATGCAGTTGTGGAGAATAATTCTGCAGATGGCATTGAAAGTCAAAAAAATGAGTCTGAGAATCATCCTTTAATCCCCCTAGAAGTGAAAATAACGAAGCTGACACTATTATGCTTTGGATATATGAGCCCACATGACTTATTAGGGGAGAAATAATGTTGGGAAAGTAGAAGGCAGTAGTAAAATAAGTATGTCCACAGGTACTCAGGGTGCATCTACACTAGAGGTTCCCAACCTGTGGTCCGTGCACCACCAGTGGTCCATAAGAACTAAAATATAGTCTGTGGCCTCACTGTTACTACGCCGTTGCAACGAGAGAGACTGGCCTCGCAAAATTTTCTTATAGTGTCAAGGCTTATTAAATATGGTTTTCTGTGAGCGAGCAGATGGTGACTACTGGTTGGCATGTGTTCTGTATTAGAAACTAGAGCCGATGTGGTCTATCCAATGCAGTTTTGTGAATCAGCACCCCAAATAATCAAACCAAATCTAAAGTTGACCAAAAACTGATTTGTAATCCTTTTGGTACTAATGTTGGAGAATGGACCCTGGTCAAAGGGATCCCGGGTCAAAAAAAAAAGGTTGGGAACCACTGATCTACACTGTAGAATGAATGCAGTCTGATACTACCTTAATTACCATGGCTCGATGCTATGAAATCCAGAAAATTGTAATATGGTGTGGCATCATCCCTCTTTGGCAGAGAAAGCTAAAAATCGTGTAAATCTACAACTCCCAGTATTGACCAATAGGAGTCAAAGTGATGGAAAACTGTGCTAATTTTACAGTCTAGATGGACCTCAGTTTGCTAGACCGGAACAGGGCTGATGAAGCCTGAGGCACATGGACATCTCTCACTCAGAAAGTCATCATACATGAGAGTCAAGCTGACAGCACCGAAAGGCAACAAGAATGGCAACAACAACATAGTGATTATCTCCTCAAGACGCAAGGTAGGGTACAACATGCCTAATTGATGACAAACATGTGAGTAATCAAATCCATGAAAGTTAATCCATGAAAGTCCAAGGTTCAGCTATGGTTCATTTTACAGAACCAAACCCATAAGCAGGCTGTTTTGTGTAGAAACGTCTGAGTACAATCAAGGATAGCTTCTTGCTTATGGCTACAATTTTTCTGCATAAAGTACACAGAGAGGAGATGGAGAAGGAGACGCTTTCTCGTCAGCTTCATTCCCATCTCCCCAAAGGCCTGCAGCAGCATAAACAGAAGCCAAAAAGAAAAATATACCTGACCTCGCTGTCCTTCATATCCTATTTGAAACCACCTCCTTCTATGCTAGCCAAAATATTACATCACTGCACCTCTGCCTCACTGGAATCAATCATTGGACAATCCGGGATTGATGCTATCCATTGCTAAACAACATCCACAGTTCCCAGGGACAACTGGATGCTGCAGCATTTCAAGGGTGTGATACACAAACTTATTAGCATGCATGGAAAGGTTTTTGATAGAATCATAGAATCAGAAGAGACCACAAGGACCATCCAATCCAACCTGCAGATCCTGGAAGAAATAATTTGGGGGGATAACAACACTCAGTTAACATAACCAGGTCAGCAAGGGAGTTGGAGTCAGGGCTTTAATTCTGAGCCATGGAAAACCATTGGATGACTTTGGGTAAGTCGCACTCTCTCATCCTCATAGGAATGCAATGGCACCCAAGAAAACCCAAGAGTTGAGTTGACCCATACACTTGGGTCAACTTGAAGACACGGAACAACAATTAATCTCTTCGCTCCAGTATGGAAATATTGGAAAGACCAATAGGATCCTTAAAAAAAGGGGGTTGCATTTTCCCTTAGAGCAGTGTTTCTCAACCTTCCTAATACCTCGACCCCTTAATACAGTTCCCCATGTTGTGCTGACCCCCAAACATAAAATTATTTTACATTGCTACTATTTTACATTTGCTACTGTTATGAATTGTCATGTAAATATCTCATACGTAGAATGTGTTTTCATTCATTGGACCAAATTTGGCACAAATACCTGATAGGCCCAAATTTGAATAATGGTGGAGTTGAGGGGGTTGATTTTGTCATTTGGGAGTAGTAATCAGTGGGATTTATAG